ATTTGTTCAGAATGGGGAGTTAAAACTCTTAATAGCCATTGCTATACAGAAAAAAACGGTTTCTTTTTTATTTGAGAGAAACATATTAACTATTTGTGGAATAAATCAACAGATTGTAGATCTCGGTAGTTCTGAGCCCCTACTTCCGATCCCAACTTTAATTTAGATGATAATGTACACATATGTTCAACGGACTGACAATAAACAATCTTTCCGGACATGTAACTGTCTGGATTAACGATAGTCGGTGTGTTGAGTGAAATCACATTGTGACATCTCATTACTCTCGCAATAGGTCCAGTGCTTTGAAACTCCAACCTAAATCGTTTTACATTCATGTACACGAATATGAAACTTCACGGTTTACATCAAACATATGGTCAAGTACCTTTCAGGCAATCGTGTTGCTTCCTGTTCACAGTACAAAGTCTATCATTTGTCAACACCATCTGATGTGGGAGCTACACGGAAGTAGACATCTTCGACTTGCATCGTCTTCCATTAGAAGATGATTTCGCGATAAAAGTGAAATGATGGTACATGTGATGTTGACAGTAAAGCAAGGTAACTGTTAGTCCCACTTTCATTTCCAATATACATGCAAAATATATCGCATACATCGCGTAACAAAATCAAGGGATATAACCCTCATTAGGTTCGTCTGACAGCTTCCGGTAAAAGAAAACGATGTTCCCGTCAGTACATGTACCTATCCCTTTCTTCACTCGTACATCAACATCTATATGCATCTATAATCTTAGGGTGTAATTTCAATATAACTGCAGATATCATCATTGATACTTTATCAACCAATAAAATATATCTTGAAACTACGCGGTCAATTACAAGGACTGCAAGATAGATACAGGCCGTATGTAAGTATTGATTCTCCGTGGGGATGCAACAACAGAACCTGTGTAAGTGTTATAAAGGACTATAAAACCCAACGGAAGCTTCATTACGAAATACGACGATAAGATAATGGATGGATTAAATCCCATTTTCTGCTGATGGCAGTAAACACATTAATCCTAAGTATATTACAACAAATATTGTTACGTCAATGTATATGCGTCGATGACGTGCACAATACAAGTCTAACACCAAGTCGATTTCCTACAGGCACAGCACATGAAATCAATCCCTCGTTTAAGTTATGTTGAAAACATGTACAAATTGGAAATAGTTGAGAACATGACGGGAAGGAGAAGCAACATCGATCCACTGCTAGCAGGGCTTTGAGGCAAAGTACATCTGCCTCACTTGCTAGAATATCGATATGAAGCCGCTGGTATCACGGGAAATGATACCCCAGTGACGTCATGAACGACACGCATGCGTCACTAGGGCTTGCCATTCTTTAGGTAAACACGCGTTGATGATCTCCATCTAAATTCGGCGTAGTTCAAATTGATATATCTTCTAATAATACCTTGTTATCGATCAGGACATTTTATTGTCTACACTACTGGTTAAATAGAATGACGGTGTTTCAAACGAACTGGGATCCGGGGGAGGCTAATTCAAAACAAACACATTGTAAGCGTGCGTTTATAGATTCTGTACGTCGAGCACAGGTTTAATTTGATTCCTTTACGTTCATTGATGTAATGATTGGTGGTTTTAGTCGTTATGATAAACAAACATTTAATTGGAACGTTAAGTAGACCGAACGTTTGCCGGGTCAACTATTAGGGGTCAAATGGATGCTGCGAGAGTGTGTAGCCTTGTAGAAAGAATAGGTGACTTGTTACAACCAAATGATATGACGTTAGATAAACAATCCTCCCAAACTAAATGCTACTGACCATATCTTCATGTATATATTTTCTCTTAAGTATTCAGATCTACGTTTCTTTAACCTTATGTCCCTACTGTCTTCCTGACAACAGATAATACTGGGTAGTCATAAAATGCTCTTCTCAATGTTCACTTCTACCTATTTTACAGTCTAATGTATGTTCGTACTGTATATCTCCCAATTTTACAACAAAACAAGCATGTACAAGTGCGTGGATACAGTCATTTTAATCATCATTATATACTCATGCCAATAATGGTTGTCACCCCCTTCAATTTTTTTAATTGGAGGTGGGGTGTGAGGTGTGTGTGGGGTGGGGAGGGGGGTGACAACCATTATTGGCATGAGTATACAACCAACACCCTCCACCTAATTTTAGCGCGAAGAACGTTTTTATATTTATGTATGTTGTAACATTTTTATATACTTTTACTTATATTGTTTTGTTTGTATTTTAGATTATCCCAGTCTCTCATAATTCTATAAGGAATGTCTTGGGTACTGTTACCATTGTTAATATGACATCATATGTATATATTGTGTACCCTTGGTGAGACTTAAATAAACTGTCTATCTGACTCTGTCTGTCATCATCATTGGTGTCGTCGTCGTCATTGTTATTATTGTTATTATTAATCAGTTTTCCTCTCCGGCTTCATGTCTCGAAGCTGCTGATAAGCCGACTGGGCCACAGTAAGGAGATTACGTTATGTAACTGCAGGACACCAGATTGTTTCAACGCTCAATTATCTCCCTTGTTGGGTCCAGCTGCTCTTCTCCCCGGGTCGGGTGACCTCTACACCACAAACACACCTGATCGAGCATATTTAACACAACAGCTGAGGTGGATCACGTCAACTGCGATTATGAAATATTTACGTGTATATTATGATAATTACAGGAAGAATTAAATATGTCACTATCCCTACAGTGAGTAAATGTTTCACGCCCTCTGGGTGTAATTACCTGTATGTGAAAGTTTGATCTTATATCTCTCAGAGGTATTTGTTTTCATGCACAATGACGAAGTCCCAAACTCCATGTTTACCTTTCATATCCTGTACGGATTTTTTTAAAAATCAAATATGTACGCATTTTGTCATCTCTGTTAACCTTTCACGGTATCTGACTTAAGAGATCTGACATGTTCTCGGCATTGATTTCCGAAAATATAGCTGTCATTATGACAGGGTGTCGTCGAGCCCTCTCTCTCTCTCTCTCTCTCTCTCTCTCTCTCTCTCTCTCTCTCTCTCTCTCTCTCTCTCTCTCTCTCTCTCTCTCTCTCTCTCTCTCTCTCTCTCTCTCTCTCTCTCTCTCTCTCTCTCTCACACACACACACGGGGCAGTCTAGTGGTTAAGGCGTTCGCTCGTCACGCCGAAGACCCGGGTTCGATTCCCCACATGGGCACATTGTATGAAGCCCATTTCTGGTGTCCCCCGCCGTGATATTGCTGGAATATTGCTAAAAGCGGCGTCAAACTAAACTCACTCACTCACTTGCTCTCTCTCTCTCACACACACACAAACACACACGCACGCGCACAGAGAGAGAGGGGGGATTTATTATACCCACATATTACATAAACATCCATCCACAGTGAGAGAGGGAGGGTCACCCCCACCCCCACCCCACCCCACACACTTTTCAATTATAAGTGTTCTCTGGATTAACAAAACCTCCGGTAATGGCGAACATTGTTCTTTCATCCGAGTAGTGGTGGGTAGCCTGGCGATGAAACCGTTCGCTCGTCACGCCCAAGACCCTGGTTCGAATCCCCAAATGGGTTTGAAACCAATTTCAGGTGTCCCCCGCCATGCTATTGCTGGAATATTGCTAAAGCGGCGTAAAACAATCCCAACATTTATTACATACGCCTTACTACCACTTTATCTTCCACACACCGTTTCAACCAGTCAGTTTCGAAGCCTATGATGTATTGATGTATTGTGTATTCTTTCATCACACTGTCACGGTAATAAGTAATCTTTGTACTGTAACTGACCACACACAGTCTTAACTCACACCTAATGGTGCACCGCAATATGTTTGGCTGCATGACACGAGCGAACAGAATTACTTGATACTATCGGAATATACACAAAAGATTTACGCTCGGTTTCTATGGCATAAATCAATAATAATTACCGTTACACGGATTAAACGTCTAATTAGACTTTCAATAATGAGCAATCATATGGAAATAATTGGTTTTGTGATTATGTAAGAATGTTGCCGGAGATGCGTCTTGTCACCCCTCTACCCCTTTCGAGTAACAAGAAACGTGCTCATCGAACGCTTGCCACGGGGACTACTATTGATCTGAGTCTATATATAGAGGACGTTCTCTCCCCCTTCCCTCCACGTTATCTCTCATGTGTGTTCATCTCACCGCGCTTCCGAGACATCGATTCAGTCAGACCAAAATAACGTCGATTTCAGGTTATTGAAGTTGACGGGATCTTCCCATGAACTGACGTATACCTACAGGGCATATATGGTTTATTCATAATGTACAATGTAATATACACGGGGAAGTGGTAAAAACTGTCGCAGTCAAGGTATTGATTGGGTAATATTCAAATGCTTTTCATTTTAAGTGAATAAATAATACGTCTAAGAAAGTGTCTTGTTTCTGACGCAAATGCTGCGGTCAAATGGGAAAAAGTACTAACCATATGTCTCGGATACATATAAAAGTGTTGTCGTGTATCGTCATTCGACTCACTATGTTAAATGGTGAGTTTTTGTAACAATACTATTAATGTTAGCATTGTGACATTGATAGCTTATGAAATATGTCAATATATTATATTTGTAGGTAGGCGTACATTAAAGTCAGCCCTGAATAGGTTTACGTGGTAGATTGCCAGCCCATAGTCTTTCAGAGCATATTCACGCAAACAATTCTCCAGCTGCTACTATGAACATTGCCAGAAACATGAATGAGACCGCATCACGACGCCGCTATCACCGCGGGAAGATATAGTCCCTTGTTTACAAACACCCGGCACAAGTGTGTAACACACTAATTGTTAAAAACGGTATGTGGTAAAGACAACAAACAAGTAATTGGTTATGTCTACAAGTGCAGAGCACAGGTAACTGATTTAGGCTATATCTCGGATTCACTGATCCAATATCCCTACACTCATGAATATTCATAGACAGGACTGCTTTAAATAGCAGAAAATCTCTGTGAAGCGTATATTCCTGTTTGTCGTGTGAACGGTACACTCCGTTCAGCGTCGGCTGTGGCAACACTCATCGCCAACACGCTTCAACGCAACGTGCTCAGTGTGGACATTTCAAAGGAGTGTAGCAGACGACATATTGTTCACTTTCCAACTTTTAAAGGTAAGTGTCATGCACTATTTCATCAATAAAACAAGACAGCCCTCCAACCAGGGCCTCAACCGAAACATATGGCAGTTTCATAGCATGGGGGTTGCACTTGAAAAGGAAAGAGTATAACTTCTTAAGAGCTACCAAAACTGACTTATAAATGAAATGACAACTTACGTGTAGCATTGCATGGCAATGGCGAGAGCCTAGAATGGTAAGTTATTATTCTCCGGCCTTACATGGCACCGTATGTTCACATGCTGTTGGCATTACGTCTCCTCTGACGTCATAGAGTGCTATATTTATGCCTCTATCGCCTTCGTGTGCCTTCATACACCCAAGGAGGCCCTGTGCTGTCAGAACGCACAGTGTACGACATCCTATCACCTGTAAGTATTGCATGTTCGTGCCCCAGGCGGTTTTAATATAGCAAGTTTGATAGGGGGTTAGACAAGGTTGCTCGATCAGGGACAGAGGCTTAACTTGACAGTTCTAAACTTGTTAAAAAAATAGAAGCTTTTAAAACAGCCCTGTTCTCATCGGCGAGTTCACTTTCTTTATCGGTGTAAATGATTGTTTTGCTGTCCTATTTGTGTCAGTGATAAAATAGAATATGTCACGACTTAGTAACTCGAGCCGTTTATCTTTCGTCTTTTAACTGTCCACATATGCTTGGATGCCACGCAGTGGTTCTCTTGTAGCGGATTTAGTTGGATTCCGTTTTCGCCACATGCTACATGCTGCCTACCTGCAGGTTATAGCAATACATCCGACACACCTTGGTTTAGGATGCAGTTTCTGTGCTGTATCTCCACGTGATACCATCTGTAACAAACCGCCCTCGCATAGCACAGCTTGTCCCAGTGGGAACTGGCCATACACGTTATCTCTTTTTCTTCAGCATATACGTACGAACAGTGTAACATGCTGTTACAATGTCTGTTAAGACCGTTTATATTCTGAATATTATATATGTACGTACACATATAATCACGCTGATGGTGTGATTTTTTTCGACGCAGCTGGTTATAACAGTTAATTAGTAAGGACAGTAATTAACTCAGCAGGGTATTGATTCTGTGTGGTGCTCGGCATTTTCTTTTAGCATGTTGATTAATTCTGATGTTGATAAGGGCAATCAGACCCAGTGAGAGTTTATGTCACGTGGTGTCTATTCACATTTCGCTAAATAGTTCATGTTATCGTATGTAGCATATGTTCCGCACTCAATCGATGGCCAGCCAGATTGTATTTCCCCGTCTATCTCCTTAATATTCAGGTACGTCCCAACCGAACATATGTGTCCACCTAGGCATTTTCGAGGAAAATACATGGTTATTTCTGCAGTCAAGTATAGGTTGTGAATACTCCGATGGCATGTTGAGGCATTTAGCTATTAACTTTAACTGGGAACACATGGCCGCTGACATATGGTTCTAATGGAATTTTGACTTAACAAGTGCCATATCAGCATAAATTTAACTCGTCTTATGCTGACGTAGATTTCAGTCCACTCATGTTCTGAACGTGCTCTTGTAGTATGGTGAGGATAAGAGTGAAGATACACAATTGGTGATTGCGTGTACCGCTGACGTGTTGTAATGTCGTGGTGTTGTAGCCAACTACGAATGCCGGTGTTGGCTCTGCCGCTGTAAGGGTTAGTGCAGTGATATGCGAGCGGGCCTTGGTAACCCGTGAGGGAGGTTTAGTTGACATAGGATCCAAGGCCAAGTGTTCATTCCTCCTGATAATACTCTCACTTATCTATGGAGGATGGGGTTGTGTTGCTATGAGGCATACTTTCCCATTCACTCGCACGCTTGTTACATGTGTTGTATATATTCACGGTGAATTGGCAGGCGGTAGTTGGCAATGGCCTCTGCTGATGGATGATCGTCAAAGAGGATAGCTGTCAGGAATTAGATTGGTTTACGTGAATCTCGTTGGACTTTTTTCTCTGTCCTTGTTCAGGGTCAGACAGTTTCCCTTTCGGGCCCAGATTGAGCCCGTGATTGTAAATCGCTGTATGTATGGGTGTGTATTGTTTGTTACATATTTAACAATTTCGATGGATAGTTTAAACGCTTTTTACTTTACCGTATACTTCAGGATTCTGTTTTTGTATTTCAGATTTGAGCATCAACTTACTGAAGAGAGCTGCTTGAACCCGTAAGGAGAAACCTTTTTATACCTGACACAGTGTGATATAGACAGTGGTAACGATGCACGTGGAAACGTCAGTAGCACTCAACTTCGTCATTTCGTATCTTTACAACAAACTCCCACGAAGGCGGGTCGACATGTTTGCCGAGGAACTCGAGAAGGGGCTCAAAAAGAAGTTTGAGGGACACTGGTACCCGGATAAGCCCTTCAAGGGATCAGCCTACCGATGCATCCGTGTAAATGGAGAAAAGGTTGACCCTGTCATCGTCATGGCTGCTTTCAACTCTGGTCTGGACATCGAAGAGGTCAAGGGGTACCTTCCAGCGGAGCTGACCCTTTGGATTGACCCATCCGAGGTATCCTACAGGATCGGGGAGAAGGGGGTCATCAAGATTCTCTACAGTGACAAGAAAGAGGAGGAATCTGAGACTATCGTGGATAGGGAGGTACAGGCTGCAAGCAAGGGGTTCAACCCCGAGGCACAATGTTTCAAACCCATAGACTCTCTCTCGTCATCTCTCACTAATCTCAGCCTTTCGCCCTCCTCTCCCAACTCTTCAGGCGGCTGGAGCACATCTACGTCTCCTTCCACAGCTCTCTTCAACTCAGCCAGCCCTGTCCCGACGCCCACACCGACGCCAAATTTCCTCCAGAAGGAGGGAGGCAGCAAGCCCCGTTTCACAGCTGCCACATTCGCACAAACCAAGTTTGGTTCCACTAAGCTGAAGACGCACGTGAAAAGGCCAACAAGGTTGTCACCAACAGAGTTTGGGAACTTCTTCAGACAGAGATCTACGACCCCGAGCTTCACTCCACCGGCCCCACAACGTCCCCGATCCTTGTCCCCCAGGGACCCCCGGGTTGAGTTCCTCCTTGACCAGCAGCAGCGCTTGATCCAGGCCAGCCAGTTCACCCAACAGTCTCCAGGGGCCTTCCTGGGAGACCTCTACCGTCACAACTCCCCAAGCCATCTCTCCCCGGGGGCCCTCAGTCCTGGCTTTCCTGACCTTCTCTCTACTAATGCTTCTCTGAATTCCATCTCTCCCGAGGGCCACAAGACATTCATGGACGGCCTGGGTCTGGGTTCTTCTCTGGCCTACCCAAACCAGCTGCAGCACCTGCTGGTGGCTAACTAATCCCGTTTCCTCTCACTTGCAGACTGTGTTCGACTCTGATCGTGCTGGTATCAACCAGGGAAATTGTCTTTCTATTTATTGTGGCTGTGAGGCTAGCGAGGCAGAGAAAGGACTCTTTTTGGAAAAACTGACGACACACAGGCTGTGAATATCCAATGACTATCGTGAGTTTGATCAATTCATTGCTGGAGACGGTACAATGTTTGTGCTACATTTGTACTGTGAGTATGAACCTAGTCATTGTCAATATTTCCATACACAATGTTATGTAAATTTGGTTCCACATGAATTTGTACAGCGATGTTGAGAGAGTATATATTCGTATTTTCTCTATAACTGGTTCAAATCGGGTACAAAGGCCGTATATCTTTTGTATGTCATATGAAGATTCAAAATGGACGCTTACTTTTTGTATTCATATATATATTATATAATTTCATAAATTAGCTGTCTATATATATGAGCATATGGTTATAGTTTTTCAGAGAGTTTATTTGTACTGGATATCAATGGTAACAAACTACTCCCCCGTGGCAAATAAGTTGATTTTTTCTACCGAATGTGCAATAACACATCTATTGAGAAACTGAACTCCATGCTTAAGGCATAGTGGATCAAGTTCACACTTGTAATGTTTATACTGTTACATATTTTTAAGTTTGTAATAAAAAAGATTGATTTTTATTATAAATGATGCTTGTGTTTTGTATTGGTACAATGGACACCCAAAGGCCTGAGACTTTGTATGTCTCTATACAATCGGTTGTACTTTCAGTACAAGCGTACAGAACTGGATACTAACACAATAGTACAACTTTAGCTGCGATATGATCTTAGGAGTGAGAGGTGAATTTTTTGTACACACAATTGAACTTACATGCCTGTGGACATTTCTGTATGAAAATAATTTTATCGGTCCGTGTTAGAGCTGTTAAGGAAACTGGAATCAATTTATCTAGCTGAGAACCTATAGTAAACTGCTCAATTAAGATACTTTTAGAAAAACATCAACCTGAAGCTGTATCAAATCGGTAATATCAGATGGAAATAGAGGACGTCAATAAGACACAGTATGTAGCGTTCAGCATTGAACACACTCTTTATATGTCTCCACAGGGTCTCGTATCGATAAATGGTAAGCGCACTGCACATTGCATAATGTCTTGTCTCTCCTCCTCCTCCTCTCCCCCTTCCAGTCTATGCTACATCACATAGGCAGAACCCTCTGTGTACTGAACGGACGTACAAGAAAGTCGATACGTCAATACGGGACAACTGAATGTTGCCCATTATGTTTGCCTAATGATCAGCTTCTTTTCACTGTTGAAATGTGGACAGGTTGCATTACAGGTTGAAATATATTTTAAAATAAGCGAGTATTTACAAACGTGGTAGGCAAATTTATGAAGATAATTCATTGTTCAACATGCTTTACATTCTGCGCCGTGGTTTGTGTTCTATATAGAAGGAAGAGCTACCGGATTCTTGACTAGATAGTGTCTGATGCATCCCTCAGACATTTTGAGCATGGTGAGATCTTGATCAACACTTGCTATGAAGGAAGGCATGTATTTGATCGAGAGTTTGCATTGCATGGGATAAGGCAGCGTGCATAGAAACACATGTTTCGGGGAACTGTATTGTGTGCATGAATCATTTAGATGTTCAAATAACGGTATTGATGGCCATCGAACACAAACATCTCCGGCGTAAACATTCTACAGCCTGCTCCTCTAGACGACTCACCGATCGAATAGTCTTGTTGTGAGAAACCGAGTGACTCGGTTTACGTTGTTGACACTGCCGGGAGAGAAGACACACACACGCACACACACGCACACACAAAATTATCTCCTTGTTGAGAAGACACAATACCTCTTTTTTGATAGTGTCGAGATGAGAAGACACTTCTCCTTGATTCAATATCGAGGTGAGAAGATACTTCTCCTTGATTCAATGTCGAGGTTAGAAGACACGTCTCCTTGATTCTATGTCGAGGTGAGAAGATACTTCTCCTTGATTCAATGTCGAGATGAGAAGACACTTCTCCTTGATTGACTGTCGAGGTGAGACGACACTTCTCCTTGATTCAATGTCGAGGTGAGAAGATACTTCTCCTTGATTCAATGTCGAGGTTAGAAGACACGTCTCCTTGATTCATTGTCGAGTTGAGAAGATACTCCTCCTTGATTCAATGTCGAGGTTAGAAGACACTTCTCCTTGATTCAGTGTCGAAGTGAGAACACACTTCTCCTTGATTCATTGTAGAAGTGAGAAGACACATCTCCTTGAAAGGCCATGTACACAACCATCGCATTGTTATCAATCTCGAGCACACATGTGCACCTGTCTCCCTGTTGTCAGTGCTGAGAGACACGTGCACATTTATCTCCTTATCTCTAAGGGCACAGGCACAGTATCTCCTTCATGACAGTGTTATCGCCAGAAGACACGTCGGCAGCTATCTCCTTGTTGTCAGTGTCGAGACACACACAAAACTACCACCATTATGACAGTGTTGAGGAGAAGACACACACAAACAAACACATGCATGCCCACACATACATACACACACGCACGTACGTACACACACACAACAAGTGGCGAGAAGTTGGCAGTGTTGGGACGGACGGGGTGGGGGGTGGGTGGGTGAGTGAGTGAGTGTATCTTTTAAAGCGACTTTGAATTCGCGTATATCACAGCATTTCGGCTTGATGTCGGAAGATGCCGATCACCTATATGGGGAGGCCGACGAGCATATCGATGAGAGATGACACATGCATTACCTCTTCACCTTGTTGAGAAGTCGCATGTACTACTATCCCCTCAATGGTAGTGTCCAAGAGAGAAGACTCACCCATCTCATTGTTGACAATATCATTAGAAAAGATACACGCACACTAATCTCTTTGTACAGAAGACACATGACTAACAAACACACTGCAAACTAACACCTTGCTGCCTGTATCAACAGTGTCAACTCACAAACAACTAGCTTCGGGTTGACAGTGTCGGTCAACGATCTCCAGACAAAAGTTTCTATCAAATACCATTATTTGAGGGACCCTCAAAGCCATTTTGTGTTCCGAAGTTTATAATTTTTATGAACATATATGTTTCATACTTAATACTTAGGGGTAGGGCTAAGAGTCGGACAATAATATCCGATTATTTGATATACTTCGATTAATGAGGAGCAACTTACCATTCGATATTTGACTGGCTGTGCAAAGGTGTCGATAGTCATAACAAATATAAGATGGGAAAAAGACATCTGTGGAGTAAACAGTCTACATATCTCTGATCCAAGATTCGCGACGAGGACTGTTCATTGAATAAAGATGTCTGTCTGTCTTTATATATGGAACGTTGAATTCAATAGCAACAAAACCGTCTGGACCGGGTGGGTTTTGAACACACAGTCCATCAAATATGGATATGAGTTAGTCATATAGAAGGCAGAGAAAAGTTATCATTTCATAAGATCCATACAACCTCATAAAGCCTGTAAAATAAGAAACTGCATTAATGTGCTTGCCCTCGGGAATTCCGACCTCAATACGAGTTCCTGTATAACCGAAGGGTCCCGTCCTCATTTCGCTGTTTTATGGGATATTAATTTTGACTAATTTTGGCAGATGACATCATGCTGTCCTCGGGGGTGTCGACACGCAGTCACAAATGAGCACGCAGATACAATTAGAACGATTTGTAATGTTACATGAGTATACTAAGTCATGGTCGTAAAAACTTGGGTGGGGAGTTTGGGGTCTGGTCTGTAGTTTGTGATTAAGGAAGTAAGGATTCTCGTCACATGTGTATGTTTATGTACGTTTCATTTAAAACAACACATATGCTTCTTGACCATATCATCATCATCGCCACCGCCATCATAATCATCGTCTTAATTTTACAGATGAATGAATACAGCAGAGTGGGTTCAGGGGGAAATCTTAGGTTCTTAGGATCAAGCAGGTCCGCATATTTGCCCTGTGCAGATAATTCCATTGCTGTATTTTAAACCCCCGACAAGGTCAGATTTATTGGATTGGATTCTTCTAGGGCTATATACATGCCTATTCCTAAGAATTTTATAGTTGTTATTTTTCCATGACGCCGTACACATTCTGGGTCGGACCGCTGATGGACCTCTGACTCAAAACCACAAGCATGGTGAAGACTAAAATAAAAGGAACGAGCCACGCCATTATGTCGCTTAAGATACTGAGTCTGTGCCAAGACTGGGCATCCACTGACAAGGTGTCGGAGAGTCTTGTTATATTCAATACATTATCTACACTGCAGGTTTACATTTTGATACAAAATCACACACTGGCGGTTACGAATTGGAAGTGACTGGTCTTCATCATCACCACCACAACCACCACCACCACCACCACCACCACCACCATCATCATCATCATCATCATCATCATCATCATCATCATCATCATCATCATCATCATCATCACACTCAAACCACTACAGCAACCCACCCTGCTCGAACTGAATGTAGTGCGTTGCTTCCGTGGGTTGAGTAACATAAACAATACCCCCCTTTCCTCCCACTATGATAGATGCCATTATTACAATTACCAGTACCATCACCACTGCCTTCATCTTTTTCATCATCAGCATCAGCATCAGTATCGTCTTCATCATCATCATCACTGTCATAATTATGAATTTGCTGTTTATTACAATCGATCGATAGCAGATATCCAGGTTTATCCTTTCCATGCACAAACCAATTCCCACTGTGAATGACATATCCTGTTTGTTGAGCCTAAAACAAGCCATTTTCTAGTCATATAAGTTGTTCATGTTTAAAAGGATTTTATTAATAGCGTGCTATTCTTGGCGTGACTTTCAGTTTGATTTCAGTTATGATAACACGCATTGACGTCAACTACCATTCAAGCCTTGCATCTCCATCGTTCTTTGTCTCAATACGACTTCCCTGACGTCTACGGGCCGGCTGGAAACATCGGCCTATCCAGAGCTTTACGCAGAGGTAATACGCTCACTATTGATTGATTTTGAAATAATACATTTATATGGATTGCCGTAGTCTGCCCACACACAACCTGTGACATTCTCGCTGACCTTCACCTTTATGTTGCAAATGGAATACAGAGTGTATATGTAGTAAATATGTCTGGATGATTATCAGATACATATCTACGATTTATGGAAACCAGAACACTGTCCGTGAAACAAACGGGTGGTCTTTTGTTCTATTCTATCTTCTTTTGTACTATAATACAATTGAATTGAAATGATTCATATATACGCCATTAGAATGATTATGGAAGTGATTAGATAGATCTATTGTTATATTTGATCCGTAATAGATCAAGGTGACAATCGTTTTAGATCTCTAAATCCCAAATGTTGTCGTTCATACACTTTTGTGGCCAATAACCGTACATATAAAAGCAGAAACTATCAGTAAATATATTGTGGCATACGAGCTGGGTGTTCAAGGACACGACTAATGGTTGTCGAATCTCGCCCTCTCATCCTCGTGTTCCTGAAGGGTGAAACGTGTTTCAAGTACTAAGTACCAGTTGGTCGATGTAGGTGGAAATGTAGGCAACTGTAGTTGCGGGCGATAGATGTAGTACGTCGGCCATGCAGTAAATGTCAGAGTACAAGCTACAAGAAGAAAGGATTACTAGATAAAATGAG